ACAGTAAATATGTGTTGTTCTTGTATTACTGTATAGCTTAAAATTTTTGTGGTTATGGGCTGCCCACGAAATTTAAACCCATGAAATCATTGAAGTGCCATCCCCTTACAGGCTATGTAAACTGTCAACCACGAAAATTAAACCATGAATTGCCCCACTAGGAGCAAACCACAAAAATATCAAGCTATACTGTATTATCTATTTTACAGGTTATATTCATGTACTTGATTCATTCAGGATATTTTAAGTATTGTCCAGTATATGATTATATTATTATTTATTTTACAGGTGATAGAGATACTGAATTAAGTCTTTATGTGGTAGTTATGTCATTTTGGTAATAAATGAAAAATGTAATGCGTATTCTTGTTTATTTTCAGGATATTATCAGTATTCTAAAGATGAAACTACCTACAGTACATCAAGTGTCTATGGTATTTTATGTGGTTATTCTTATACTATTATCTTATTGCTAATTCATGATGTTTACATTTAGCTCTTCTATATATTATTTTAGGTCGATGTTCATTACTTGTACAGCTATTACCATAGATCTTGCAAACTGCCAAGTAGGCCTGTGCAATTTGCTGTATCAATGGATCAAAGGCAGTTCTCTCTATTGGTTAATGATATCCACACACTATCATGTACATGTACATCCTTATCTGTAACATGTATTCTATTTCCCTTTCCTTAAGATTGCTACATAGACTCAAGCCAGCATGCAGTCTTCTTCAGTATCAATTCAGTCCAAGTCTTCAGTGTATGGTAACAATGTATCTATTGCATGTTATTAATAACCTTGATTACAGTGCTAATAATAAACGGCTCATTTTATCACTATTCATCCCATTACATGTAATAAAGCACTGTCCCATTGATCTTTACTTATTCTATTGTTTAAACATTTTTCTCTTTTATTTTTTACAGGGATCAAGTTTAAAGTTGGTTGAGTGTGAGGTAGAGTGAGAGTTAATAATGTATAATTACGCATGCTTATAATGTATTTTATGCATGTATAATATAATCCACACATGTCCTTCCACCCCCCACCCCCTCTAGTAGGTCTGACTGTTCTGGACTGGACTCAGGATCAAGTTTAAAGTTGGTTGAGTGTGTGGTAGAGTGAGAGTTAATAATGCTTATAATGTATTTTATGCATGTACAATATAATCCACACATGTCCTTCCGCCCCCCTCCCCCAACCTCTAGTAGGTCTGACTGTTCTGGACTGGACTCAGGATCAAGTTTAAAGTTGGTTGAGTGTGAGGTAGAGTGAGAGTTAATAGTGTATAATTACCCATGTTTATAATGTATTT